CACACACACACACACACACACACACCCCTCATAAAATCCCCAAGTGAGGTGAGGAGCGTATCAGATCATGAGGGCGCCAGAGGCACTCTCTTCTTTCCCCTTTCTGCATGACCTCACCGTCAGTATATTTGGAGACTCTAATCCTCTTTAGAAAGGTAGTGACATGCAGATGTTGTAATCGAATAAATGAGATGAGGGGTGAGTCATACACATGAGAATGAATTCAGGCATGCAGGAAGTTGGAAAAACCACCATTGTTATGACACACAGATAACCAAGAAGGAACTTCAGGGCTGTCTTAGCACCACATATAATATATATATATATATTTAATCTTGAATGAAACGCCATCTAAGAGTATCTAAGAGGACTGCATTTAAAGTTCAGTTTTGTCAAGAAAAATACCTAGATTGAATGAAAGGCCTCCAAGACTTAAACCATAACTATTGGAATTAGGAGCTACTGGGTAATCACGATCCTCTTTAATCTGCGAAGGCCTTGACTTATTGCCTTCTGCAGGGAGATCATTGCTTCCCCACATTGAAAACAGGTCACCTCTCAGCGAAACTCTTGGTGTGTGTGATCTGTGAGCATAAATCTTTACTGAGAAATTATTAGTGTTTCTGGAATGAGGAACTTAAAGTTAAGTCAAAAGGAACTGAAGCTCAAAGTTCAGAAGGCAAAGGATTTGCCTAGGTATCGAATGTCCTCTAGTGAGGAGCAGGGCGTGCCCAGTATCGTCCTGGATCGGGCAAGGCTGCTTGGACTCCACGTGTGAAGAGGCAGAGAGGGTAATTGTGAGCAAACGTGAGGAATTGCTTCGGTCTACCATCTTTGAAGACAAAAGACCTGGCTTTTCTCTTGGACCCTTCGATCAGTCATCTATGATTCTTGAGGCAGGGTGCCCATAGGCATTCATGTTAGTGTTGACAGGATGAAAACCCTGGTGAAAATTTGGTGCAATGCTGATGGATTAATTCTAAGTCAGCTATTGCTGTGGCACAAATTAAAGTCCTGCCTCATCTCCTTCTCAGCTTTACAGCCTTTTTCCATGACATCCCCTCCAGTTGCCATATTTCTTAATAATGAATTTGTTGGCGCTCAGGTCCCAATCTCACACATCTTTGACAAACGTGTAACACAATGATGGAATTTAGTCAAGGAGTGTATTTGATTAGATTTAAAAACATCCCATTGGTCTATCTATCCAACAATTTTATAGTCCTGCGGGCAAGTATGTTGATATAAATATTAAATACTACAGTAATATTTTATATCTCACTGGATTAGCCACCTGCGTATCTAATTGCATTTTGGGTAATGGAATGATAATTGGTATTTATTCAAAGGTTTCTATAAGAAAAAGGACATATTTATCACAAGTAATGAAAAGTGTCTTTATGTGGGTTGGGTGTGTGTGGGTCCAAAACCAGGTACAAACAAAGATGGCTTTGGTTGGTAACTCCTCTGAGCACCGGGCATGAATCAATTTGCAATGGGTCTTGTGAGAGACCTGGGGTTGAGTTAGACTGGAATGGAAGAGAGATCATCCCCAATGTAACTTAGAGCCTAAACTCTTGAAATTTTATTCAAGCAAATGATTTTCATTTCTCTATACTTGCTGCTTTTTGGTGAATTAGAGCAATTATTTATTAACTGGGTAACCAGCTGTCCCATTTTGTCTGGGACTGAGGGTTTCCTGCACAAACTAAGAGGAGTTGGGTAGCCTCACCCTGGCTGATGCTGAGCAAATTAAAAACGATGATAAAGAGACTTTAGATCCTTGGATACAAAAATGATATACATGTTATAATGTATAATTATCGAATCATATGGCAAATGGAAACTTAACGATTATTTTCAGAGTCTAGTATTATCACTTTCTTTTTATTTTGCCATCATTTTTGAATATTCTTTGAAACATTTTGCTAACCATGTTCAGAACTCACCTGGAGAAAAATCTGTATATTTAACGTACATTTTCTAGATTTCAAGAAAGGGAGGGACAAAATAGATGAATTGCCGAATTTTTATATCCGCTAGTGGTGTGAAGTTGGGCTGCTAACCCTTGGGTCATCAGTTCAAAACCACCCGCTGATGAGACTTTCCATTCCCATCAAGAGTTTCAGTCTCGGAAGCCCATAACTTCACTCTGTCTTACAGGACCACCATGGGTTGGATGGACTCAATGGCAGAGCATTTGTTTGTTTGTTTGTTGTTGTTGTTTTTAAAGACGGTGGTAGCCTCTTCATATACAGGGGTTCTCTTAACACAATACAATGGAAAAAGAGAGCAAGTCCATTCTAATATGGACTTTCTCTTGCCCCAAATAGCATCCAAAGCCATGACAGATAAACACTGCAACATGAAAACTCTTGGAGGATGTGTGTGGGTTATGTTTGAGGTCCTTTAAGATACGCACACAGCCTGTATTTATGACTTACACCAGAGAATTAATGCACTGCATTTGACATGATCACCACCCCTGGTGGCACAGGGCATGCAGTGTCGGTCTGCGAACCCAAGGTCGTGGTTTCAACCCAGCAGCTGCTACACGGCAGGGGGGTGTTTTGCGGGCTGCTGTCTGGAAGAAGCTTGGAAACCCAAGGGAGCTGTACTTCTTTGTCCTACAGGGTCCCCTCTGTAAGTCAGAATCGGCTTGATGTCAGGGGGCATGGTTCTTGGCTTTGGTAGTGTATACTGGATGACTCTCCTGGATCCTTTTTGTCTAATTTCAGATTGATAAGGGCTGGTGTTCTGTTATTTGGGCATTAGGAATCAGCAATGTCAATTGTTGCCTTAAAGGAGAGACAAATTCAGCATTAACAGCTATGTCCAAGTTAGATATTATCAAAAGTGGTATTTTCTAAGATAGTATTACTAGATAGAAGTTCAAAATATACTGGACACGACCAATATGTTAGGGGACAATGGAGCTCAATGACACACCCACCTGAAGTGTGTTAACAGCTAATTAAAGACTCAAAAGACCCAGATCTAAACTTAGTTGCATCGATCCAGTGAAAATTTGTTAAACACCTTGGCTGCTCTGTAAAACAGAGTTCAACCAGCCTGATCCCATAGTCCCTTAAATTGTTGATCTTCTGTGCTTCTAAGAATCTATGATCATAAATTCGAATAGTCTACGATTCTATCGGCAGCATTGTAAGGACATTGGAGACGAGGGTCTCTGTGTCCCTTTTCTCCCAGAGCATTGCTCACCGTGCTGGCCTCAGGCCAGTGACCCTTTAAGAACCTGGCATCTTCTCCAGAGGCCAGAGATGCAGCACCTCAGCGCGAGGCCAACGTCACACGTGGGATCCTGCTCATTGCAAACTGGATCTTGGATGAGTCGCCTTTTCTTTTCATATCTTGGCATATCTGTCTGTAATAATGTTTTTTTCCCTTCCCTAAATCATTTTCTCTAGTTTTAGCTCTTTTTAAAGCCCTGCATAATTTCCTTCCTTTTGAAATGAGGGGTTTCGTAATTTCCGTGAGATTTTGTGAGCCCCCTCTTCTCAGTGCCATTCTGCCCGCTCCCTGCTGGCAGGTGTCCTCATGAGGGCCCTGAAACCTTCCCGGGCCACAGCTCACCCCTCGGCTGCCAGTCTGCAGGGGGAGACTCTGACCGGTGTCTAGCTGCTGCTGGACATGTGTGTGGCACTGGGCCTTTCTGAATCTTCTGTGGGCAATGCTGAGAGCCTCTGGTTAGAAGGAGACCTGAAGATCCTGGATTGCCCGGGGTAGGTGTGCCCAGTTTGTTAGCTACAAAACAGATACGCTAATGGGATTCAAAAGCCTGGATGTCGCAGGAAAACAGCATTGGATTTCTAAGTTCACATTTTGAGTCCAAAAGGACACCAATGTATTAAATCTGGTGTTACTGTTACACCGAAAATGAGTTGGATAACTTTGACAGGAGCTCTGGTGGCATAGTGGTGACAATTGGGCTGTTAACTGTAAGGCCAACAGTTCAAAACCACCAGCCGCTCCCTGGGAGAAAGAAGAGAGTTTCCACTCCCATAAAGAGGTGACAGTCTTGGGAACCCGCAGGGGGCAGCTCTCCCCCGTCCTACCAGGAGCTGGAATCGACTCGAGGGCCGTGAGTTTGAATGTTTGGCTTACGGTACGCCTTAGGACTCACCAATAAGTGGCCGGCCAAGGGCTTTCCATGGAGAACAAATCGTTTAACCATAGGCAAACGCTTTTATTGACCTCACACATACTTTTGGATCTCATTTACTCGAGAAAGAACTATTCTTCCATTGACGCTCTCCTGGGTGATGGCTTTGATTTTCGGCGCTGTAGACACTGAGGGAAAGAAGCATCAAGAGGTGACCGCCTTGCTCTCCCACCAGCCGCACTGTATTTCCAGTTCCCGTTTCCCAGCCCCTGAACTTCTGTGCCTTCCAAAATGATCGCCAAGCCGCAGGGCTGGCCCTTTTGTAGTGAGAAGAACCCCACAAGGGAACATCCTTCCTCCTGTGAGCTGGAGCAGGAGTTGTCTATGAGCAGAGCCACCTTCCCGCAGGCAAGCCCTTCACCCTAGGTCTGCCTGGAAAGGAATCTAGAGACGTTCTGGAGGAGTCTTCTCGGCCTCTGCCCTGCTTGGACCCCGGATTCTGTGAGCACGCAGAGCACAGACACCCCCTCGCTGAGTGCGGTCAGGGGTGTAGAAAGCAAACCAGACAGTACATGGGGACGGAACCAGGACTGGTTTCACAGGACTACTCTTCTCACAGATGCCAGATTTAAATAAAGGCCCGTTGACACACACTGATTTGAGACCAAAGGGCAGAATGGAAGCATTCGTAGAAAGACAGGGGAGAGCTTTAACATCCAGCCTCCCCAACTGCAGATTGTACCTATAAAGAAAGGAATAGGGTCTCCCAGGCCTGGACACGATAAGGAGAGACGGAAAGCACTCTCTCAGGGTCTTCCTGAGGGCTATCTGCCCGACCCGCTGATCTGTGATGGTCCCCCTCACTCAGGTTCTATTGCTACAATCAATCAGAAAGCAAAGCCCATCCCAAACCGTGGGTGCCTGGGGTTTTCTGTAGGATTGGGAGCACTGGGTCGGGCACATTGAAACCTTCTGTTCCTGGTTAGCTTCCTTCCTCCTTTGAACCCCGAAGGCAGTACTGGTTCAGTTCTTAACATTCTAAAATGCCACCTGGCTCCTTAGGAGGGGGGAATGGTACCCATTTCCCACAAATTTCTTTCATGATACCCTATGAAAATCTCATGGAGCACTCCTACCCAATGGAGCATAATCTGGGAAATTACATGGAATCATTTCTTCACAGACTCCATTATTTCATGTTCCTATTGCTTAGAGTGTGTTGCAGCTCAGCGAGCGTTTGTGAAATACTGTCCCGTGTCCCTGTTCAACAGAGGCATGGCATCGAGGATCATTTGTATCTAAAAAAACGAGTAGGTTGCAACAATGAACGGACATTTTTCTTACCTTTCACACTTGACTTAGCTTCTTCTATTACCCTACAAAAAGTGATAAAGGTTAAAGTTCATTTTAGTATGAGCAACACTTGTAAAAACACAGGTGAACTAACTTCCTTGGCTGCTGGTCAGTCCTCAGCGCTTTAATGAAGACAGTTGTCTGAGTTGGGTTGTCAAAGGCTATGAGTTCACGGGCGGATCCTTCTAGAGCTGAAGGCAGTGGCTGCTGGGGTCTGCCGGGGAAGTCTACCAAGCCATGCCTTCCTTTCGGTTGGCTATGCGCTTTGCCTCTACCCCTTCCCAGACTCGCGGGGTCAAGCCTGGGACTTCCTTTGGCTTCTCAGACTGTTCAAAGCGGGGTCCAGTGATTTGGTGTGAGCAGTTTGAAACGTCTAACCTCTTCTCTTAGGCTTTAGACTGTATGTGCCCTTTATGTAGCCTTTCTCTCGCTGCCATTGAGTCATTGTTGACTTATAACGAGTCCCCCTTGTGGGTTTCTGAGACTTTAACTGCTTAACGGAGTAGAAAGCCCAGTCCTTCTCCAGAGGAGCTGCTGGTGGTTTCGAACAGCCAACCATGTGGATCACAGCCCAACTGATAACCACTATACCACCAGGGCTCCTGCACTTATGTAGCCAGTCATTACAATTTCCTGGCGTGGTTAGAAATACTGGATTGAAAGTCTTAATCGAGTCAATTTTGACTTATAGCAACCCTATAGGACAGAAACCCCAGTGGCTTCTGAGGCTGTAAGTCTTTACGGAAATAGGAAGCCTCCTCTCTCAGCTGGTGGAGTTGAACTACTGACCTTGTGATTATCAGCCTAACGTGCAACCCCCTACACCACCAATGCCGATGTCCTAGGCGTCTCACTAACAGTCCTTTTACAAGTCAGAATGATTTATGTTCCCACTGGGAAACACCACAGTGAAACCTTCTCACAAATGTCTTGGACAGTGTCTTAATCTATTGATTTTAACTGATCCAGCCTCATCTCTTAGTGTTTGGGGAGGAATGTCATAGCTCATTAATTCGTTGCTTAAGGAAGTACAGCGGATGCAAGGCGGGTCTGTAGAAGTTCCATAAGCACTGTTTCTTCTCTAGAGAACCCAGCAGGGCCACGAATGCGCATCCAACATTCGGATGCCCTTGGCTTCCACCGTCCCCTCCCGCCACCCTTGGACTTACCCTTCACTGTCCCCTTCCAGGAGCTGGCGGTAGGTGGCAATCTCCTTCTCTAGGTGGGTTTTGATGCCCAGGAGGACCGTGTACTCGTAGTTCTGACGCTCCAGGTCTTGGCGGAGCTGCCTGAGCTCCTCCTCGTAGTGGGAGATGACCTGCTGCATGTCCCGGAGCTGGCAGGAGTAGCGAGCCTGCGTGTCTGACAGCATGTTCTCCAAGGCAGATTTCTGAAAGAGGAAGAGCTGTCTCTCGTTGGTGGATTGTAGGAGTGATTGAATCCGCAACCTGGACCTATTGATCCTGGGTAGAATATGTTGCTCATTCTGCTAGGGGGTGTGCTATGGGGTGTGGTATGAGTGTGTTGGAACACAAAGATGAGATTTATAAATTATCAAGGGGGCACAGGGGAGGGAGGGAGGGGGAAAATGAGGAGCTGATGCCAGGGGCTCAAGTAGAAAGAAAGTGTTTTGAAAAAGACCGTGACACCATGTGTTTGACAAACTGGATATATGTATGAGTTGTGATAAGAGCACACCCCCCCCTAATAAAATTAAAATTAAAAACAAAAACAAAGATGAGAAGCAGTGTGACTTGCAGGTTTGGGGATTGGGCATTCTGAAGTTGAGCCACGTGCAGCGTTTGGACGCCCCATTTCTCTCCTGTCTGCATAAAACGTTTGTATCGGGGAACTCCGGGCTGCTCACTCACACTAGCCCAGTTTTTATTGTCTAGCATTTGGGACTTGGCAGATGCTGCCTTGAACCGAACTAATGTTTACCTTTTTACATCTACAGTCTCCACTTTGGGTCACAGAGATAATGGTGGGGGTCCTAGACATCTCCCAGGTAGCCCTCGTGGTACCCAAAGGTCAGCAGTTTGATACTACCAGCCGCTCTATGAGGGAAAGATGAAGCTTTCTACTCCCATAGAGTTACAGTCTTGGAAGCCCACAGGGGCCGTTCTGCCCTGTCCTGTAGGGTGGCCATGTGTCAGGATTGGCTCGATAGCAGTAGGCTGGGGTTTCTCGGGGTTAGAGCTCTCCCAGGAGGCCTGGGGATGCGGTGGTTAAGTGCTTTACTGCAGTTGGGACCCACTGGCTGCTCCACACGAGAAAGAGGTGGCCGTGTGCTTCTGTAAGGTTGCGGCCTTGGAGCCCCGATGGGCAATTCTCTCCTGCCCTGGAGCGCGGCTGCGAGTGGGAATCGCCCTGACAGCTGAGTGCAGAGCACCTCCATCCACTCTGAAACACCACGTGGCTTCCCTGCTGGCCACTTAAAAGCTGTGTGACCCTCGCCAATATACATCACCATCTGGAGGTTTAGATTCCTGATGGGGCTACTAAGCCCTACCCAGAAAGGTTAGTGTGGAGATTCACACCATAGCAGAGGATTAACCACTTAGCACCTCATCTGGCTTCACATGGATGCTCACACCACAGATAGCTCCTGGAATCATCCGTGTCACGAGTGATGTGGATGGAGAGTGGGGTGGGAGGGATGTCCCGGTGGAGTGGGAGAGTGGGGCTGGGGAGAGAGGTCAAGGGCAGCTCAGTGGAGCACTAGGACTCACCCTGCTGGACTGCGCCTGCAGGTCTATCTCCAGGGCCTGGAATGTCCGTTTCAACTCATGGATGTCGCTCTGGCCACGCTGAACCACTGCTGGACTGGCCACTTCCTGGGGCATGGCTGCAGACTGTAAAACCAAGGAGGAGGAATTGGTTCAGGGCCCACAGGGCAATAATCCTGCTAGGATGGCTGAGTTTTTTGTTTTTGTTTTACCTGTTCTTTAAACCAAGTGTCCATGTCTTGATGTCTCTTTTTTATTAGAAACTCATATTCCTGCCTCATATCCTCCAGGAGCTTAACTAGATCTTCCCCTGGGGTTGTATCCAACTTCACATTGACCTTGAAGTCATTTGGCACATGCTGTTCCTCTATTTCCTGTTGAGTAATGGAGAGAGAAAAGAAATCACCTGGGAGGCAGGAAGGATGTCGACCGATGGCAGTAAGCAGGCATTTAAGAGATTATGGTTATGTGGCTGTTGTCTCTCGGTTATTAATTGTGGATGACAAAACATTACATGAACAATGTTTCTCTTATCGTTTTATAAGGTCCAGAATGTCACCAGACAGGTCACCCAATGGCCTTTGTGACTCCCACTTAAACCCTGGCCTCAAAACATTCCAGAAGGAACTTTGCTGACATGGTGTGTACAGTCCCGCTAGGGAAATACTGTTCGCTGGTGACGGGATGACGCAGCAGAGACTTTCAGGTGTTAGGCCGGAGCTTTGGGGAAGCAGTTCCCTAACCAAAAGCCGACGGGTGTAGAGGCTTTCAGAATCCTGTACGCTCTGCCGGGTTAACACCCATAGGACCGCATGAAAAAAAAGCCCAGGCAGCCACAGGAAAGGCTTAATTAAATCATTGTCTAACCTGCTCTTCAGACACAGGGCCTCTTTGATGTTCAGCAGCAATTTCATTAGCCTAGAATGGAGGTTGTTTATCATTTCTCAGCCTCTCCGGGACGTGAGATGAATGGCAATGTTTTACATCGGCGAGGAGCTTCTAGAAACATAGGTTCTCAGTGTGGGCCCTTGTCTGGTTGCCTTGGTCAGTGTCTGCTCTCTGTATCCTGCTGTCCCCCGCTTTGCCTCACACGGGGCCACGGAAGGAGGTTCAATTGGACACATCTGTTCTTTTTTTTTTTTCCCCCCCCAGGGACTGCGGAGTTTTAGAGCTATGTTTTCTAAGATCAGTTTTTCAGATAGCAAGTTAGACTAAAATCTTTTTTCTTAATCATTTTATTAGGGGCTCATACGACTCATCACCATCCATCCATACATCAATTGTGTAAAGCACATTTGTACATTCATTGCCCTCATCATTCCCAAAACATTTGCTCTCCACTTAAGCCCTTGGCATCAGGTCCTCATTCCACCCCCCCTACCTCCCCACTGCCCCCTCCCTCATGAGCCCTTGATAATTTATAAATTGTTAGACTAAAATCTTGTCAACTATTTAGTCCTAAAATAATTTCAGAAATTGCAATTGGCTTCAAATTCCATTCATTCACTTTCGATTAAGTATTCGATGGAACTATCCTACGTCGCTACATGAATACTAATGAAATGTGAAAATGTGTACAATGTGCCATCGCCATTATAATCTACTAGACCTAAGTATCCTTGCTTATTTTAACAGTTGTGAGTACTCATCAACAACCTATATGAAATCAGAAGAGAAGTAGACCCCCCCAAAGTTAGGAAAAAATACTAATTCAAATTCACCTGGGAGAAGACATTTCAGCTGAAAGTTCTTAAAACAGTTCAGAAGCCTTGATGGTCAAAATTACCCTGGTAGTTTTAACTACTTTCTAACAGCAGTTGCAAATGTGTCACAGAAAATCAATACATGGCAGCACATCTATTTTTATAGTAACAAACCAGTCTAGATAAACTTTGTGTGTGTTAGCAAAATGGTTGACCAAGGCATCATGAATGTTGATTGAACTTGGGCTGTTATCTTTGACATCTAAGTAGATAAGCATAAAGTTTTAAAAAAAGGGAGAGCTTTTTGCAGTTTCCTACAATTCCGTAGAGTCCCTGGCTACCATGCGGTCACTGTACTCAGCCGCTAATCAAAAGGCTAGTCATTCAAATGCGCCCAGAGGTACCATGGATGAAAGACCTGGTGATCCATTATCTTTTAATCCCATTTCCCCAGGAACTTTTTGAAGCCACCTCTCACTTTCAGAAAGCCAGCCACCATGTAGCACCATTGGCTCGATGTTATCTGGTTTTTAATTTGATTTCGGATTCTTGGAGTTGAAGGGCCATAGGATTGGCAATCAAATGGCAACCTTTGTGGCCACTGAATCGCCGTGAAATGTCCCGCTTAATGTGTTCCTATGGAGCCCTGGTAGCTTAGCAGTTCTGAGTCGGGCTACTAACCACGAGGGCAGTGGTTTGAAATCACCAGCAGCTCCTCGGGAGAAAGATGACGTTTTCTACTTCTATTGAGAGTTACAGTCTGGGCTACCCCAGGGCCCTTTCTGCTCCGCCCTGCAGGGCTGCTATGAGCGGGAATCGACTGGATGGTGGTGCACGGGGATGTGTCCCAGGTGTGCTCTACCTGCTCATGGTGCTTCTTCATGAGGATGAGCTCCTTCCTCATTCCCTCCACCTCCTGTTCCAAGTCCGTCGTGACAATGGTCAGGTTGTCCAAGGTCTTCCGGAGGCCTTCAACTTCAGCTTCCATGTCTTTCTTGAAGGAGTGTTCATTTTCGTACCTGTGGTTAGAATAAGGGAAGAGCTCCTTTCTAAATGCAAGCTAATCCTGAGACGTACAGCCCTCTAGCAGCAAATGCATCTAGTGTTTGCTTTGCTACCTGTCCCTTGACCAACTCATTTTTTTTAATGATTCTAACTCAGTTAGCTTTTTAAATGGAATAGCAAAAACAGAATAACCAACAACCACATGCATAGCATCTAGACCAGTGGTTCTCAACCTGTGGGTTGTGACACCTTTGGGGGTTGAATGACCCTTTCACAGGGGTTTCCTGATTCATAGCAGCAACAACATGACAGTGAAGAAGCAGCAACGAAAATAATGTTATGGTTGGGGGTCACCACCACATGAGGAACTGCATGAAAGGGTCGCGGCGTGAGGAAGGTTGAGAACCACTGCATTAGACTTAGCAGTCATGGACATTCTGTTGCATTTACTTCATCTGTATTTTACTTTGAAACCCATGGAATTGCCATGCGTGGGAACCAACTTAAAGGCAATAGTGCTTGCTTTTGATAGGCAGGATGATATAAATATACAACTCTTTCATATCACCTAGCTTGTTTCAGGAGCCAGGGCGGTGCCGTGGTGACAGCATTCGGCAGCTCACCGAATGATCAGGGTTTGAACCCTCCAGCCGCCCTGTGCGAGAAAGCGATGGCAGTCTGCTGCCCTAAAGACGCACAGCCTTGAAAATCCCATGAGGCACTGCTCCTCTGTCCTTCAGGGACCTGGTGAGGCAGGATTGGCTTGATTGCGGGGGATTTTGGTAATGCATGTCTCATCATCACATTGCCCCATTTGATCCCGAAAGGAGTTTAAGAGTTGGTTTGTTTAAACTCGGGTCCAATCAAATGCCACTCATTGCATTTGGTCACGATGCCTCTTAATTACCCTTTAGCAAGATTTTAGATAGTGGTGTGATAAGCCTTCCTTTCGCCAGAGCAGCAACAGCAAAGAGACAAAAACAAACCCTGTCAAGAAGGAACTTACTTGAGGCTGAATTCATCCACTGCCATCTGGGCGTTGTCAATGAGCAGGATGAGCCGCGCATTGGCCGTTTTGCCATCTGCTATCTGCAAAACACGCACCCCAGTCAGCTGGACGCCCCGGCACAGGAGCTGCCTTTTCTGCTCTTGTTTGCTGGGTGCGAGACTTAGCCCAGACAGCCTTTCTGTCTGGCCACAGAGAGGAGGAGTTGAACCAGTAAATAGCCAAGGAGGACCTGCTAGCTGTGACGCACAAGAAGGCTTCCATCGTAAGAAAAAGGATCGGCTGTGCCGTCAAGCCCCTGTCTTTTGCTTTTTGTTTGCATCGCCTCCACCGCTCAAAGGAGGCTTTGACGGGAGGAGGGAAGAGAGCACTTGTTCAGAGGGCTGTGCACCATCTGAGACGACGAACAGGCTTCTGTTGATCCTCCTCTGATGAAGTGGAGCTCGAGGGCTCACCCTTTCCTTTCGGCCAACAATTGTTCAGATTGCCAAAGTACGTTAATCATTTTAAATGACTACAATTCTTCCCTGTGATAGAAAGGCATCATGTTCTGAGCTCTGTGATGGAAGCGTTGACAAGTTAGTTTTAAATGTGTTTTATAACAGTCATCACAGAGCACGTGTTTCTTCCATGTTTTCCCCCCCAAAGTGTCTAGCCATGCATGTAACTTGCATGTGTATAACTTATTCCATGATGAGAATGCCCCAATAGCAGCTTCTCGTGTTATTAACTGAAGAAATGCTTTAATTGCGAATGAAACAGCTTAATAAGATTGAACTGGGTTAAATCCGTCAGCTGGAGACTTTTGTTAGAGGTTGATATGTTTTCAGTTTAAACGGAAAAAATATTGTTGAAAGTGTTTAAGTGATTGTGTATCCCTCTGTGATTTGGAAACCCTTCTAGTATATTATGGTCAAGAAACAGTGCCCGTTGAATGGATGTCACAGTCTGTAGGAAAATGGAACAGAAAATGTTTCCAGGTCAAAAGCATTACATTGGAGAGAATGTTGAACTAGGGACCACGGCCATTAGTTCTCGCCTCTGGTCATGCTATTGACCGTCAGTGTGATTGCGGGCCTGCCACTGGACTTCAACTTCATCTATAAATGAGTCGTTTGTCCTAGAACCAGCATTAGTTCCTAGCCCTGAACTCTGGTCATGAGTTGAAGCAGGAGGACCCTGTTACATCCCCAGTGTGTTGATACAGTGGACTCCTTTATTTGGGAAGGATTTTTTTTAGGACAAAATTATACCTCAATACAAAGACACCTTTAACAACTCGGTCCTTTGAAAGCTTCACTGATTTCGTGGAATGTGGTGTCACGGGCGCACAATGGCAGGATTCAGAGGTGTGCGCACTGGACCTGGAGCCAGAAGAGTGGGCCAAGGACCCTGCTCTCATCCATTAACCGAGTGACTCATAGGCATCTCATTTCCTTCATAAAGAACAACAGCTACTAAGTGGAGAGCCAATGTTTGAGAATGATGAGGATAACGAATGTACAAATGTGCTTACACAATTGATGTATGTCTGGATTGTGATAAGAATTGTAGGAGGCCCCAATAAAATGATTAAAAAAGAAAAAAAAAGAATAACAGTTACTTCAACAAGGAGTTTTTAGAATGATATCAGAAGCGATGAGCTAAACTAATGCTGTAGAATACTTATATTCTTGGCACAGTTTAGATGCTTTGAAAATTTAGTTGAAACAGAATTAGTTCAGAGAAATGAGAATGATATAATTTTCTTTCTAAAAATGTAGCACCCCATGTAATTAGAACCAATGTCCTTAAGGTAAAGCTTTACTGACATGTATACTGATTAGCCTATTTTCTGAAAAACAAACAAAAAACTAGTCTTTGGACAACTCTTAACACGATGGACGCGTGGGTTGCCATGCCTCAGAGCTGAGTTGATGGTAGCTGGTTATGAGGTTATCCAGAACAATCCTGTACCACCAAATCCACCCAAATCTAAAATTAAAAGTACCACCTGGGAGGTTATTCGACTTTTGTCATTAAATGGATAATTTCTTAATTGGAAAGCCCATGTCAATAGTACAATTTCCCAAGCCAGTACTGTCGGAGCACGTGAGTGGTGCGTCTGAAATGCACTTCATACAGATCGCACTTGACATCTGGCCCTGCGCCCCACTGGGTGAGCGTATTGACTGCAGTATGAGGAGGGAGCCACTGTTCTTTATAGAACTGAGTGAGGATGGACTGCGAAGTAATATAGGAGACACCGGTTTTACATGGGATGTGGTAATCCATCACCTGGACTCTCCCCAAGGCTGGAGTTGCTCATTCTCTGAAATGATACAGTTGGTGCGTTTGTGTAGCCCTGTGGCTGCAGGGTGTGTAATCTCCTACCAGAGAGAAGATGCTTGGGAGAAAGACAAGGCTTTGGACTCCTGTAAGGAGTTACAGTTTCAGAGACCCACAAGAGCAGTTCTACTCTGTCCTATATAGTCGCTATGGGTCAGCATCGGATCCATGATGTGAGTTAGAATGAGTTTGAGCGAGAAGAATCTTAACAGGAGCTTTGATGGCAAAACCAAAAACCAAATATTGAGAGCCATCCAGGAGGCTGTGTCGCTACTGTCTCCATGACTACATTCAAGTCTGTTTCAAAAGGATTGCGTTAATTTTTGGATTCAATTTCTTATTCTCTTTTTTGGGTAAGGGGCTACATGGGCACTTTAGCAAGGCCAAGGAAGGGCTTTCACAAGGCCCTGGGCGAGATGGATGGACACGGTGGCTGCAGTAATGGGCGCAGATATGGCAGCGATGGTGAGCTGGGGTGGGAGTGGGCGGTGCTTCATCCTGGTTCTATTGCACACGGGTCGCGGAGAGTTGGAACTGCCTGGAGGGCACCCAGCGACAACAGCGACACAGTGTCATTGTGTAGGTGGGAGGTGGGGAGAAGGTGGTCTGTTTCCCCATCTGCACACTGAAGACAGATGGGCAGCCGCAACTTCAAAGAGTTGCTTTCTTCAAGCAGAGAGATAAGGCACCCGAATTCAGAAAACCAGAAAAGAGACATGTGTGGGATTTGAAGAGTTCCACATTTAATCTCAGAGTCTCGAATCCTAGGCAGCTTGAGAACAGGCACCTGTCCCCTCCCTCATCATC